GTATGCAGTACACTGCATTTACAATTTCTCAATGTAACACGTACACTAAACTAAATTATCAAGTATAAATCAGAATACAGTGACCATGTGGTATAACATATTAACTCCACCAGTAAATGTCTTAGTTTCTCCTACATTTTCCAAATTCTGGTAGATGGTTACACTATTAATAATAAATATTGTTAGGTATATTAAACCATAAACAAAAAAAGGGAAAATTAACATTGAACTTACTCTTATTAAACCAATTGGACACCAGATTTTAACAAAAAACAAAATACATCCGATCTATAAGCCATTGTGAAGTCAACTGCACTGACCATCTGCGTTTTACAAGGTGATGTGCCTATACTCTTACATCTGTTCAGCATCTGTTTCAAGGTTAAGTGAAAACAATGTCAATCCACCCCTCATGTAGCTTCAGTCCCGTATTGTTATTAATTCTGATGTCTTCCTGTATCCTTCTTTTTAGTTGATTGTTTTCTGTCATAATACACTTGATGCTATCTTTTAAAATTTCACACCCTTCAGTGTTGCAATGTTGTGCCTCTGATGATGATATCAAATTATTTTTGATGGCATATATATATATGTTCTTTAATTCTTGTCTTTAATTTTCTCCCAGTTTCCCCTACATATCTTTTTTTATGTGAGCAACTGCAATCCAATGAATAAACTACATTATTTTTTTCCAGATCATTATGTTCATTGTTACCATGTTTACTGATTAACAATTTTGCTATGGTGCTTGTGTGGTTTGGTACTAAAATAATATCTAGTTTTTTTAATTCATTTTTTAATTTTGCAAAAACACCAAAAACATATTCTATTTTTAGGTACACAGTCTTAACTTCTATTGGTTGTCTATTTAACGATATATTTTTCCTTTTGTCTTTACATGTTTCTAACCACTTAATCAATAATGTTCTAGGGTAATTATTTAGGTTACACATTCTTATTATATTTTGTACTTCCATTTCTTGATCGGTTTGCAAGGTCGTTCTTTCTTTAATTTTGTTGATATACATTTGAAAAGTGTTCTTTTTTATATATAAAGGTATATTAGATTTGAAGTCAATAACTTTACCGGTAGCACAGTCTTTAACATACTTTTTAAATAATAATTTACTATTTAATCTAACAATAGTAAGTTCTAAGTAATTCAGTCTATTATCTACTTCTTTTTCACAATGGAATTGAATATTTTTATTTATTAAATGTGACTCAGAAGAGAAATTCAAAGGCTAGTCTTCTATCTCCTCCGTCCTCTAATAGCCATGCACTTGCCCACAAAAAATAATTAAAAACGTCCACATATGTGTAATGAGTTGTCAGATCTCAAAAATTGACTGATGTCAGTCATTTTAATGTTAGACAATGGTTATTTATTCAATCACTGTATATTGAGGAGCTCCACTAAATTAAATTTTATCATTTGTTTATTTAAAACCACAGGTTAAACATATAAGTTTTAAACTTTGTTATGTACTAACTGTGAAAGTTCAAAAACTTTTCCATTTTAACAAAAGTTTTTTTTTCATTCATTCATTTATCTTTCTCCATTATAACATACAATTATATTGCTTGACTTTCAACATTTCAATTTTATTGCTTGACATTCATCTTAATAAAATTACTTAGAAATTTTCTAAATGGAAGAGATTGTAGGAAAAAAATGATTCAATTTTCAATCTCCATTTTTTATTAGTTATGATGGTTATTTACAATAAAGTTCAAAAGAGTCCAAATTAATTTTTTTAATTAAACATTTTTCAAGATGATTTACATCTCATTATCAGATTTGACTTTAAAAATGATGCTAATCATATGGAACTACCACCATTTGAACACAAAAGAATTTTTAAACACTAAGTACAAGATGATTCAGAAGGTCAATCAGATTCTCTACAGTGCATGATTTTGTCCAGAATGAAAAAGTAATACTAAAAAATCAAAGAAGCAGGATGTACAAATACCAAGGAAATTGAACATAATAAACTGTATCACATTGTATATTGGGAGTACATACAAACATCACTTTTTCAAACAGACTGAAAAAAATATGGAGACACATTTAAAAAGGAACTACAAATAGCTTTGACTAAAGTGCTATTAACAAAAAAAAATACAGTGGACAAATAATAAAAAGTAGAAATTGTAGTAATCTATTCAAAAATATTCCTTCATAAATTTCAATAAACGTAGTTATTGTCATTGGGTGCATTGCCCAGTAAAGTAGCTTTAATACAGCTGGATAAGTGAGTCATTTCAATCAATCAGCAAGATCATACTGTAGACGTTTTTGTTACAATTTATCAGTTACTTCAGTTATTTACTGTGACTTTTCATTTTTACTGTGACAATTTACAATCAATTATTCACACCAATTATCACTTATGCCTGTGGTTGTTGGGGATGGGCATCAAATAAGACCCATCCTAAACGTAAATTAACATCAGCTCAGAGGAAAGCTTTGATCCCTCTCACCAAAGCTTATAGAACTACCTCCAACTCTGCCCTACAAGTGTTAGCACGAAAGCCTCCTATAGAACTACATATTCAGTTCTACAGCCAACTCAGCTGTCTAAAATGGGGGAATAACATCCATCTAACCAGAGATACAATTTTAACTTCGGAGTTTGAATCTGAAACCCCCTTTAGCTTGTCACCAAGTCCGAGTATACCTCCTATAAACATTATTTACGATACAGATTATAATGGCATTTTAATATTTACTGATGGATCGAAAAATGGCAGTAACGTTGGCTGCTCGTTCGTTGTCTTACTGAATAATAATGAAATACATCATAGCACTTTTAGACTTGGTGTATATACAACAATTTTCCAGGCAGAGTTATTTGCCATTCTTATGGCCCTGACATGGGCAAACACTCAGTACCAATCAAGCGATATTACGATTATCAGTGACAGTGCTTCTTCCTTAGCCGTCATTAACAGTTCACAATTACATCCTTTGTCTATACGTATTAAGAATCTGATAATGACTTCCAGTAACAAATATAGCCTGATGTGGACTAAGGCACATCACGGTTTGGCCGGGAATAAAAGAGCTGACGCATTAGCTAAAGCGGCTGCCAATAATTCACAGCTAGAAATCTCTTATAACAAAGTCAGCTTGACCACTGTTAAAAGACTTTTGTGGAGAGAAGTCCTGGATATATGGCAAAACAAGTGGAACAGCAATAGGGAGAAAATAATCTATAAATTCTTTCCTAATATCAATGATATTTATAAATACCACTGGTTATCACAGTTTTTTACTGACCCATGGAAAATTTGCTACATACCTATCAAGATTTGCCAGTCATAATACAACTTTATGCACTCACTGCAACATTACAGATAGCAGTGACCATTATATTTTTGATTGTGCATGTTTGGAAAAGGAAAGACAAGAAATTAAAATGATTTTGTCTGAGCGTGGTGTTGCATGGCCATGCAAACACAATGAATTAATAAATAATTATGAAACATTTTTATACTTTAATAACTTAGTAAGAAGATACAGTAAAATCACCACGATCTGTACTAGATAAACTTATATTGGCTTGTTACATTTATCTGGCATTACATTGTTAATCCATGTGCGTACAGAGAGAGATTGCTCTGCCTTTTCATATAAACTTAATAATATAATAACTTAATTATGTGCAAGAATCTTTAATTTATTACTGCAATGACTGGTATAATAAGATGTGTTGCAATTGACACTTATACATTACAAGGACATCTTATCAATCTGTTTTATAGTATGTGACAATACTTTGACTGTTATAATGCCTGCTTGGAAGTATCCGCAGCCAACTAAATGTTACCTGAGTGTGTTGTGCTGCATCCCTGTCGAGGTTCTTTTGCCCGTACCGGACACTATATAAGGACACTTATCAGGTGCTCTGCTGTCAATGTTGGAATCAACTCTTGACATGCCCAGCAGGGATCTACCTAATAGACCTCAACAGACCACAGCGCTGCAACTCTTCAGTACATAACCACCAGCATTATTTTTGTTTCTATTAATTATTTTTTTTTTTGTTTGCCCTCGTAATACTACGTAAACCATTATAATTGTCGGTTGTCTACTTTATTTTATTTTATTTTTCTTTGCTCAACATAAACAGTATATTTGTATATGTGTACTTATGTCAATAATTGTAAAATATGACTAACTGTCCGACTATTGTATTGTTATTACTACATTTATATATTTTTTATAAATAATTGTAAGCAGATTATGCTACTGCGGAATCTGCAATGTAACCTATGTTACGAAATAAAAAGATTTGTGTGTGTGACTTTTCATTACTTTGGAGGTAATGGATGGCTGCCGTCGGTTAGTCGAAACCTGGCCGTCTTTCTCCATCCATTTCCATCTCACAAAGACTGTCTTTATCAAAAGGCGGTAAACGTGAATTAGTTAAGTTCACGACCATGTTTTAAACTAAAACAACATTTATTTACAACAATCTTACGAGTATACTTGACAGAGAGCTACACATGCTCATGGCAGCAATCACCTGACAAGAAAAAGCAACAATACCCAGAATTCCATCTGGGAAAAACCCTTGTCCCCGTTTTTCAATCCGGGATTCACGGGAAACTCCTAGAGGAGTGGCACCATCTCACCAGTCCGTGATTTGTCACCACAACTTTAATAGCATTTTCATCTATGTTTTATCAAGAAATTATATACCAGGTACTTACAGTTTTACAGATAAAGATGATAAAACATCTTTGTATGTATGTATGTATGTATGTATGTATGTATGTATGTATGTATGTATGTATGTATGTATGTAGACACAGTTGTTATATATTTATGACAGCAAATAACATCATTCTCCATAGAAATTACCATATAATCTGTTCTTTAGATTTTTTTTTATTTTACTTTTTTATAATTTTAAAATATTATTTTTTATTACGTATTGTAAGGTATCAGGAAATCTAACTTACAAAATAAATCAAAATTAAAATCTCACCACAAGTAAAGCATATAATATAACTCCACAACTCCATACATCAGCTCGTCGACCATCATATTTTTCTCCCTGAAATAATGTAATTTTATAAACATAAATATATTTGAAAAATTAAAATCTATATTGCAACATAAAATTTATTATTAAAGTATAAAAACTGGCATCCTGTGAAGTGTCAGCAGAGACAATTACTTATTACACATTTCTATGTGATTAATATTAAAAAATTCTCGCAGACAGTAATCTTTAAATTTTATGAATCAAATAGTTTAAAATTTATACCTCCAACTATCTCAAACTGTCATATTTTGAATAAGAAATATTCCAGTATTTTATCAACACTAGATATTCTTTATTTTATTAACACTTTCAATTTTGAAACAGCAATATTTCAACAATTAACATAGAAGTGTAAGTTACAGCATAAAGTACTGAAATAATAAAATTATATATTTTAAATGACAGAATTTTAATTTTAACAGACACACTGAAAATTAAAATTTAAATAATTCAATTAAATAAACTTAAAAATAATTTTATTTTTAAAATTTTAATTCATTACAAATTAATTTTTAAAAACTTATTTTAAGATTAATAAGCACTATCTGGCATGCAAGAATTTTTATATCATATTCTTTTTATTTCCAGATTAAACTCAGAAAGGTATATTCAGATATTTTTAAATCAGCTTCTTGGTTGTCTCATATCTGTAAACATAAATTTCAATATATTTTGCAACAGAACTTCTAAATTCTTTCCATCTTTGTTTAATCCTAAATATAATTCAATAAATTTGGCATGATTACTGTCATGTTTGCAATGTAATAAACATGGATAAATATATAACTTTTTCTATTTGTATTATTTTTGTTATGAATAAAATAAATATTGCTTTAACAGAAAATACATAAAATAAACTTTTTTAGTTTTAAATAATATACAACAGAATATAAACTTCATTTAAAAATGAAGAACAATAAAATCAGTTTCTTAAACCTCAATATAAGAAATCACAGTACGATCTTATTTTATGTAGAAATGTTATAAAAATCTGTGTTTTTGCAGATGATGACTGGTGTGAGATAAGCAGGAGGCCACTGGGTCTATCCCTAATGACCACTTACTCTGCATGGGCTGGTAAAGCCCTACCTCTGTGTCATCGAATGGCTAAAGGAGGGCAAACTCAAGTGGGGAAGGTCATGAGCAAGTCAACAGGTGTTCTTTGATAGACAGGAGACAGTTTAACAATTAAACAAAGCATTTACTAAGATCTAAGGTTAACATACAGGAGGTTAGATGCGATTAAATACTAAATACAGTATATACAAAACAACAGCTCTTAGCTAAGCCTATTCCCATTGTGGAGGAGAATTCACAAATCGCTAACAAAAATATCTCTATGAGGAAACAATTGGTATGTGTTGAAAATTTTGTAGGAATCGTAGTCCTTGTCAATATGGTGAACTGTATGGAAGCCCAAAGCTGTGATCTGTCTTCAACCGGTGTCTAGTCCTCTCATTGGATCAGGTCCATTGTATGGAGGTCCAGGAGACGGACTGCACACAGTTACCAAGTATACCTTCCAGTTTGATTGCTCTGAACTTCTGGGGCTCAAGTTTTTATTCACTTGTCATGGAAAAGAGGTCATGTGATCGCTCATGTTGACAATGACAGTGCATTTTCTGACACCTATGTGTCAACTTTCCCATCTGATTGCTGACAATTAGAGTGACATCCGATCCAAAACTGTTTGATAGTTTTTCTATCAGCGGATGTTTACATAGAATTATTTTATTAAAATGGGTTAAAACAACTCCCAAAACTCGTGGATCTCACACTGTCCTGCACTTTCTTTAAAATCATTCATCCCAATTGGACAGCATGATTTTAATTTTGAGGTTACTCTCTCTCTGTAACAATTTTCAAACTGACATGTGTAATTTGATATCAGTTTCCAGATTGTGCATGCTTTTGTTTATGCTAAGATTTACAATTGTTTCCGAAAATTTAGGGTAGTTTTCCCCAACAAAAATTTCTACGTTACAAGTTCAACCTTTGACAGATAACATGTTCTCTCAGCACCAAAGATGCAATTCACAATTGGAATGATTTGCTGAGATCTTTGACCCACTGCCACAGTTTCTTGTTGATGACTCAACGTTTGTTGACTGTTGATAGTTGGAAGCAGAGAACGGTTCAAAGTGCAATGTTGAAGTTCTTGATGATCGAATGTTGACCTTGTCATGACGTCGGTCATATCTTGAGGGGACTGTCTCCTGCTGAATAGTCCTTGCTGACTTCGAGACTTGCTGTTGACACAGTTCATTCACAAAAAGGTTGAAATTGCAGAGATGAGAGGTTTGAGCATTACAAATTTTGTGCAACTAAATTCTCTCTCTGTCTGTTCTACTTCTATAATTATAATTTCCTAAGTCTATCTAAAACACGCAACTTGACTTGTGCTATCTATCAGCGGAGAGCTTTCTTTCCTCTAATTGCGCTAGTTTAATTCATGGCAATGTAGTCGTTGAATGAATCGGAAGAGGGATGTGACTTGGTCGTAACATCGGGGATATGTCTAAGGTAGATACTGTTCTTGTAGTGTCGGTTCTGAAGGGTAGCCTTGACTCCTTTAATACGGAAATGATAAACAACAGGGCTCGAATCCATTCTACAGGGTTGTTCAAGCTGGTTTGACGCTGACTCGAAGTTGGTTCCACTTCTGCTTGAGCTACTTCCATTGTGTCTTCGGGTTCGACGTTCTTTTCTATCTTGTTTGATTCTAAACTAGATTCCGCTCTCCCCTTTCCATATTAATTCGCCAAATTCCAGTCTTTGTATAAGGTTCTGGGTCACTTGGATTGTCCTTTGTATGGGGTGTTGAATGAACAATTCGGATCACCCAAGGCTCGTGGCTTGGTTTTATTTCAACCTGGGCTTGAGGTTGTTGACCTTCCTTTCAAATTCGCATGGTTGTGGGAGGTGACGCTTGACGCATGAAGCGGAGCACATTCAACCCTTCCACTATGTTCTTGGATTTCTGTTTCCTTCTTCGTTGAGAGCATGGTGGGCACGGTGAACAAAATGGACAACCTTGCCAGCAAGTCAGGCAAGATCAACCATCCTCCCTTTACATTGATGGCTAAATGTTCCTGCTCAAGAAGGTCTTTAACAATAATGCCTTTGCAGGGTGCTGTAACCTCAGATCAGACGATCTTGCATGACATGGGAAATTTGTGTCCCCTCAATTTCAAAGTAGGAACTGCCATGCCGATTGTTTGAATTGTTTCTCTGTTTAAACCTTTTATCTTCTTTCGGGGTCCGAATTTGACCGGTGCTTTACCTTTGATCTGGTTAGCTACTTCATTTGACAACAATGTGTTGTGGGCCTCTGGATCAACAGTAACCTTGATCGGTAAATTATTGAGGTAGCACAGCACTATTGGACTATGCTTCAGTCGTGCTTTTGTTTGAATGGTTTGAATTACTCCTTTCCAGTGATCCTCATCTTGATATTCCTCATTGTCTGAGGCAATATCTGATTGGCAGATTTGTTGGATTCGCTCGCTCAATCTGAGTTTCCAATGTAGGGGTACGGTTGAGTGCTGCTTTATCTGCCATCCTGCTGATTGCGGTCTTCTGTTTTATGAGAACCGTTCTCCCCTGGAATTTCTCGATTCTCTGTTTGAGGGCTTCAATCTCGGCGTTCAAATTCTGTATATGGTCTCTCAAGCAGGCGTTTTGTTCTTTTTGTCTGTCGTTGGAGGATTTCCACATCTTTGAACCATCCTCATGAATTTTTATAATGCTTCCTCAGGAAGTGCAGTGAGAGACTCGATAGTCTCCTCACTACTTTAAGAGTGGTGTCGAAGGTCACCAGCTCTCGACATTACCCTCTGTCTGATTTTAAGATCTATGCCATTCAGAAACTGAGCTTTCAAGCATTCATCTAACTCTTTGGCTTGTATGTGTTAAAACAAATGGTTAAAAAGAAAAATTTCTACGATTTATGTTGGCATCAACATGCTAAAATGGATGACGCAAGAGAGAGAGGGTTGTCAAATTAAATATCATAGAACATCTTCCAAACTTCTGTGGGGTTCGGAGACGTAAAGGTTTATTACACACTTTTTAGGTAGAGTCCTGCCACCAGGTGTGTTTTATCAGACACACCGCCATTTGAGATGAAATGGATGATTAAGGCATGAGGGTAAGAGCCACTCTGAAGTCCAGGAATGAGCCTCTCAGGAGGAAGAATGCAGAGTCAAATATAACCAATTTAAGGACATTTATTAACATAAACAAAAGTTTAGAACAGAATTATTAAACCCGATTCTGGAAATTTGTCTATTTTTATCTATACAACGAGGGGGTGCCTAACGGGGGGTATTGACAATGTGCCATTTGTTGTTGAAACTGATGCTTCTAATTTGGCTATCAGTGCTACATTGTCTCAGGAAGGTAGGTCAGTAGCTTTCTTCTCACAGTCCCAGAATGAAAGTTTGAAAATACATTCTAACATAGAGAAGGAAGCATACACTATAATTGAAGAATTAAAGAAATGGAGGCATTTCTTAATTGGCTATCACTTTACACTAATTACTGACCAACATTCTGTAGTTTTTATGTTTTATTCTAAATCTCAGTGGCATGCTGTGACATTTGATGATAGGGAAGCTGTGTTTCTATAACAAGCCGACTTCCAGGGGCAATCAGTTAATTCTTTCTTTAAATGTATTTTTAATAGATTATTTATCTGATGTACTTAATATATAAACAAGTTCAATATAATTACCTCTGTTATTAGATCCAATATATTCCATATGACCTCTAAATGCCAATTTTTGCTTTGATAAAAACATATAACATCTATTTATTTAGATATAATATATCTATTAACCGTAACTATCTCGTTATAATTTTCAATATTTATTTTATATTATTTACTAATGTTAAATTCTATTCCGCTTCGATTTCCAAATTGCTTCAAATACGAAAGAATCGACGATTTTTCGTGTCTTTTGCCAGCTAAATTGTCAAAGCCATTCTTATTCCACACACTAATTTCA